AAACACTCGTGGAAAACTTTAAATGCAAATATCTCGAAAACTAATAGTGATACAGAGATGGGATTTTCACTGAATTAAAGCTAATTTTTACCCACATTTTACTAACCTAATTAAATCCATGCGTCTTTAAGGGTTATTTAGTAATCGACCGCCCGCGTGTAAGTTACTACGCGTTGCGTTCCGCAAACGGCAGGCGATAGTCACGATAGTCTTAAAATGTGAGAAGTATTCCAAAGTCTATAAATCATTTTCTATTGTATTTGTGGTCAATATCAAGCTATATCAGCCTAGATTTATTAGTAAAATACCTAAAAGTACAGATTTTAACTCTATATTTATGGTTAAATGACCAAAAAATACGTATAATTAGCATTCAAACTACTCAGGTTTATGCTTTTTACAACATTAAAATGCTTTATTACTGATTTTGTTACTTACTAATTCTGTTTTCACCATAATATTGTTAATAAACAATCCTTATACAGTTCAATACTTTAAAACCATACGTTTTTACTGAAAACTCGTATAAAAAATTCAATTTTCAACCGAATAAAACTCGAGGTTCAAGAGTCTGTATATGGTAAACTGTATAGTGTTTGTACTTTACTAATAAACTATTAAGCCAAAAAGTGTTTATGATTTTAGCCATACATATTAAAGTATGACAATAGATCTACATATGTTAAAAATGGGTGTTTATGATATTAGCCATACATATTAAAGTATGACAATAGATCTACAGCAGCGCGCGGTGACCTTGCAAAATTCCTTTGTCAGCGCATTCTATCGATGTTTGGGAAATACCGTAGCGATTTGGCAGGCAGTTGATGTAATACTATATACACTTTTTGTTCAAATAAATATTTTATAATTAGTTTAATACTGTAAATAGCCTTTGATGAATGTATAGATTAACAGGGAGACTAACAAAAGACCTATCTTCATCTAGACGAATGCTACGATTGTTATATGAATTTAAAGGATCTTTATTAGGATTCTAACTGTTTTAAGCCAATTGTGAACTAAACAAAGGATAATATAGTACCTTTGAGACTCATTTTAGCCTAAAACAGTAAATATTACGTTAATAATACACTTTAAAAGTCTAAAATCTGTGACTTAAAATAGTCCAACTGGGAGCAAAATAGCCAACTTTAGACTGATAAGGCTTAAAAAGTAAACATTTTTAATGGCTAAAATATATCTATTACTGTTGAATATATAGCAATAAACATAATTATGTAGTTTATTTAATCTTAATCCTTTCAATAGCTTTATATTTCAGAAAATAAAATGGCGTTTTCGCCACGAGTTTAACACACGATAATTGTCATAAAATTGCAAATTATAGTGTTTTTTGTGATTTTTTAAGGGATTTTAACATCAAATTAGTTAAACTATACTAGTAAATGATTTGAAAACCACATTTGGAGAGCTTATAACTGTACAGTTTAGCCAGAAAATGGAAAAAATCTATTATGACAAAGACAGTTCAAACAACAATACAGGCTTATTCCTTTATTTATTTCTCTATAAAAGTAAATTATGACTTTATTTTTGTATATTTCACTGCTTAAGCACCTATTACATGGTATGTTGTGAAGTCTAAGGAATTTAAATGTAGAGTTTATCGTAAATTCAAGTATTACCAGTGGTTGCAAATCGGCAAGTAAAACGATTCAAAACGTAAGACTCATAGCCTAATCTTGACTTTCTAGTCATTTTAACCAATTTCATAATCACTTAATGATGAATTAGACTGTAGAATATAATAAAATTACCCATTAAAGGCTTAGTATCAAGGAAATAAGCTCATATTACAACTAAAAGTGGAATTACAGCCATTATATCAAGAAAAAATCGCTAAAAAATCACTAAAATCACAAAAAAATAAAAAACCAATCAATCGATTAATAATTAATCAACCAATCTAAATTAACAAATGAAACAAACTCCTTCTTTATAGAGTGGATGTGCTGTCCATGCACACCCACTACTAGATGAGGACCTGTTCAATCGCAAGCCCTAAGACAAGTAAGTTATCTTAAGCCGGGTTTACACTATGTAGCAAAACCTGCTATATAGCAGATTTGTGTAACATCTAGCAATGTTGTTATATAACATTTTCTAGAAGTAGAAAAAGTTACTTTTTACAAGTGCTATATTATAACACTGCTATAAGTACGGTAGCAGATCCTGCTATATATAGGAAAAATTTCACTATCCATCGGGAGTCGGTAAAGATCATGATCATTCGTGTTTAAGACGGCAAGCTGAGTGGTTAAGAAATCGATAACTCGAAATCCTTACATGTGGTTGCCTAAATATTACACTAACCTCAATTAATTGTTTTGTCAATGTGACTAACCTCAAACCTATATGTGAGTAACAAGGGAGGTCCTGTTTTTATGATGGCTAATTTAGCTGAAATCGTTGGCAACATCAGAGCTTGTGTTATTTCCAGTAAAGGACTTTCTCTGAAAACACTCTCTGGTGCCCTTGAAGAATTCTTTCAACAAATTCTAACAGGAGAAGAAGCAGTCAGAGAAAGATGCTTGAAATTTTTAGTTCACTATGTCAAAAAACTGGACTCAGATGTTTTCAACAAAGAAGCTGAAGATTTGCTTATTACCGAGTGTAAGAAGGTTTTACAGTCTCAGTTGGTGTGGAATGACCCTGATGCGTTTGACATGGTGATGGATCTGCTGGGACTGACTCACCTCGCCAAGTCGGTCGTAGGACAGCGGGAGTTGGTGGAGATTGTAGCGGAACAAGTGCAACTGTCACAACTTTACAATCCCGCAGACAAGGAGCAGGTCGCCAACTGCTCCATGGACTCAAACGAGCTTTGCCCTTCTTCTCGGCCCAGGTAGATTCACAGAAGTTTGTCGAGTACCTTTGTGAGCAGGTCCTTCCCACAATGCCCGTCATATCAGCCTCAAATAAGAACTCGGCGAATCATTCGGAAATCTTCAAATTGCTGGCCGAGTTATGTAGTCATTGCAACACAATCTCCAACCCAGAGACCCATACAGCCACAGTCTTGAAAAAACTTATTGAGTACATGCCACTGCCCTCCGCCTCAGACGACATACCAGAGCCTAACCTGAAGTACTCGTACGTAGAGTGTCTCATGTATTCTCTATACAAGCTGGCTCGACACTGCCCCGACATCATTACTAAAGACCCTGAGAAACTGGAAGACTTCCGGCTAAGGCTAAAATATTTTGCTGGAAGAATCCAAGGATATAAGAAAAAAAAAGCCATCGACTTAGAGACGTTGAATGCGACTATCAATATCAAGTATATGATCAAGTATTTGTATAGGTCCCGTCGAGTTTCGAGAGAAACGTCAGCTTTTCTCGGAAACCCCTGCATTCAGTTACCAAAGTTGGTACCAAAACAGTGACGCTCGGACAGAAGAGACACACTTCCATCTCATTTGAAGAAGGCGACAACAAACACAGCAGGACGGACTCTAGGCCGAGGGAACTTTGCCAGCCTTCCAGCGGCAAATACAGCAAGAACGTCTCCAGTAACAGAATATTCCTTGGAGAAAGAAGCAATGATCCAGAGAGAAGTTACCATCAACGATTTAATGACCACAAAGAACGTATGACAAAAAAAGAAGTTTCAAAGAACCACAACAGAAGTGTTGCTCCTTCATGCATACGAAGCCTGTGTACACCATCCATCACTGGAAAGAATTTTGACAGCAATCAAGGGCAAATTAAAAATGGAACTCTTAGTAATGGTGTCATACTTGGGAGAGGTAGTAACATTCCTAAAGCAAATAAAATTTCAAAACCTCCAGCTACCAGACCTGGAAATGCACAGTCTAAACAAGTGATCATGGGTGGTGTGAGAGCGAGTTACATGGGCAAGGAGGTGCTGTGTACCATCCCTGTCAGAGAGACACAGTCCCTGCAGTCCAGCCCTACCAGCGCTACTGGAACTGGAATATTCCTTGGAGAAAGAAGCAATGATCCAGAGAGAAGTAACCATCAACGATTTAATGACCACAAAGAACGTATGACAAAAAAAGAAGTTTCAAAGAACCACAACAGAAGTGTTGCTCCTTCATCCATACGACGCCTGTGTACACCATCCATCACTGGAAAGAATTTTGACAGCAATCAAGGGCAAATTAAAAATGGAACTCTTAGTAATGGTGTCATACTTAGGAGAGGTAGTAACATTCCTAAAGCAAATAAAATTTCAAAACCTCCAGCTACCAGGAGACCTGGAAATGCACAGTCTAATGTGTACATGTGCAGGGATGCGTCCTGGGAGTGTGTACCCAATGCGTACCAAAATCCGCTAGTCAGAAGCGACACATGCGACAGTGTGGTCTGTAACTGTCCTCACGGCCGCAAGTTCAATAACCAGGGAACAAAATGGGAGTTGGTGCTCTGCAAATTCTGTGGCTCGCAAGGAATGCACATTGACTGTGGCCATCTCAAATTGAAGTCCCCTGCGTTTATTTGTGATATCTGTTCATTAGAGTTCATGGAGTCGGAAGAAGACAGGGAACCTCCAGCCAAAAGACAACCATCGCCCATCGTCGAAGAGGTGAGCTTCTCCACCGCCTCGCTACCTGCCAATCTCAACTCACCTCAACCCCAGGTCCAACCAGGGCCAAGTCAAGTTCCTATGCAGAATGTCGAGGAGACTTCCAAAGAAGTTGTCTCATCCGCTGAGGAAAATGAAGAAAAAGAGGAGGAAACCCCCAAAGAAGACAAAGTAAACAACAAAGCTGCAGCCAAGAAGAAAGGTGCCGATCCACCAAAAATCAAACAGCCCCCCAAAAAACGAGTGAAATCTGACCAAGAAGAGAAAGAAACTAAAAAGAACAATACAAAAGAAAGTAAGAAAAAGGCAGCTGAAAAAGAAGAGGAAGATGAAGAAGAGGAGGATGAGGAGTCAGGAGAGGAAAATTATACAAATCACAAGCACAGGGAACCTCCAGCCAAAAGACAACCATCGCCCATCGTCGAAGAGGTGAGCTTCTCCACCGCCTCGCTACCTGCCAATCTCAACTCACCTCAACCCCAGGTCCAACCAGGGCCAAGTCAAGTTCCTATGCAGCCTCCTCCAGGAGATATATCTCCCAACCCTGGACTCAGCCCTCAGCCACCCATCATCTCCAAGGAGGAAGACGAGTCCGACCAGGAGATGATTACCTGCAAAAACTGTGGCATAGGCCATAGCAGTAAATGGAGGAAGAAAAAAACCATGTGCAACGCCTGTTATTTATGGCCGAAGAATCACCCTGGGGAGAGCAAACCTATATGTGAGTAACAAGGGAGGTCCTGTTTTTATGATGGCTAATTTAGCTGAAATCGTTGGCAACATCAGAGCTTGTGTTATTTCCAGTAAAGGACTTTCTCTGAAAACACTCTCTGGTCCCCTTGAAGAATTCTTTCAACAAATTCTAACAGGAGAAGAAGCAGTCAGAGAAAGATGCTTGAAATTTTTAGTTCACTATGTCAAAAAACTGGACTCAGATGTTTTCAACAAAGAAGCTGAAGATTTGCTTATTGCCGAGTGTAAGAAGGTTTTACAGGCTCAGTTGGTGTGGAATGACCCTGATGCGTTTGACATGGTGATGGATCTGCTGGGACTGACTCACCTCGCCAAGTCGGTCGTAGGACAGCGGGAGTTGGTGGAGATTGTAGCGGAACAAGTGCAACTGTCACAACTTTACAATCCCGCAGACAAGGAGCAGGTCGACAAACTGCTCCATGGACTCAAACGAGCTTTGCCCTTCTTCTCGGCCCAGGTAGATTCACAGAAGTTTGTCGAGTACCTTTGTGAGCAGGTCCTTCCCACAATGCCCGTCATATCAGCCTCAAATAAGAACTCGGCGAATCATTCGGAAATCTTCAAATTGCTGGCCGAGTTATGTAGTCATTGCAACACAATCTCCAACCCAGAGACCCATACAGCCACAGTCTTGAAAAAACTTATTGAGTACATGCCACTGCCCTCCGCCTCAGACGACATACCAGAGCCTAACCTGAAGTACTCGTACGTAGAGTGTCTCATGTATTCTCTATACAAGCTGGCTCGACACTGCCCCGACATCATTACTAAAGACCCTGAGAAACTGGAAGACTTCTGGCTAAGGCTAAAATATTTTGCTGGAAGAATCCAAGGATATAAGAAAAAAAAGCCATCGACTTAGAGACGTTGAATGCGACTATCAATATCAAGTATATGATCAAGTATTTGTATAGGTCCCCGTCGAGTTTCGAGAGAAACGTCAGCTTTTCTCGGAAACCCCTGCATTCAGTTACCAAAGTTGGTACCAAAACAGTGACGCTCGGACAGAAGAGACACACTTCCATCTCGTTTGAAGAAGGCGACAACAAACACAGCAGGACGGACTCTAGGCCGAGGGAACTTTGCCAGCCTTCCAGCGGCAAATACAGCAAAAACGTCTCTAGTAACAGAATATTCCTTGGAGAAAGAAGCAATGATCCAGAGAGAAGTTACCATCAACGATTTAATGACCACAAAGAACGTATGACAAAAAAAGAAGTTTCAAAGAACCACAACAGAAGTGTTGCTCCTTCATCCATACGAAGCCTGTGTACACCATCCATCACTGGAAAGAATTTTGACAGCAATCAAGGGCAAATTAAAAATGGAACTCTTAGTAATGGTGTCATACTTAGGAGAGGTAGTAACATTCCTAAAGCAAATAAAATTTCAAAACCTTTGGAAATGCACAGTCTAATGTGTACATGTGCAGGGATGCGTCCTGGGAGTGTGTACCCAATGCGTACCAAAATCCGCTAGTCAGAAGCGACACATGCGACAGTGTGGTCTGTAACTGTCCTCACGGCCGCAAGTTCAATAACCAGGGAACAAAATGGGAGTTGGTGCTCTGCAAATTCTGTGGCTCGCAAGGAATGCACATTGACTGTGGCCATCTCAAATTGAAGTCCCCTGCGTTTATTTGTGATATCTGTTCATTAGAGTTCATGGAGTCGGAAGAAGACAGGGAACCTCCAGCCAAAAGACAACCATCGCCCATCGTCGAAGAGGTGAGCTTCTCCACCGCCTCGCTACCTGCCAATCTCAACTCACCTCAACCCCAGGTCCAAAGAAGACGTTCCTATGCAGAATGTCGAGGAGACTTCCAAAGAAGTTGTCTCATCCGCTGAGGAAAATGAAGAAAAAGAGGAGGAAACCCCCAAAGAAGACAAAGTAAACAACACAGCTGCAGCCAAGAAGAAAGGTGCCGATCCACCAAAAATCAAACAGCCCCCCAAAAAACGAGTGAAATCTGACCAAGAAGAGAAAGAAACTAAAAAGAACAATACAAAAGAAAGTAAGAAAAAGGCAGCTGAAAAAGAAGAGGAAGATGAAGAAGAGGAGGATGAGGAGTCAGGAGAGGAAAATTATACAAATCACAAGCACAGGGAACCTCCAGCCAAAAGACAACCATCGCCCATCGTCGAAGAGGTGAGCTTCTCCACCGCCTCGCTACCTGCCAATCTCAACTCACCTCAACCCCAGGTCCAACCAGGGCCAAGTCAAGTTCCTATGCAGCCTCCTCCAGGAGATATATCTCCCAACCCTGGACTCAGCCCTCAGCCACCCATCATCTCCAAGGAGGAAGACGAGTCCGACCAGGAGATGATTACCTGCAAAAACTGTGGCATAGGCCATAGCAGTAAATGGAGGAAGAAAAAAACCATGTGCAACGCCTGTTATTTATGGCCGAAGAATCGCCCTGGGGAGAGCAGACCTCCAGATATGGCCCGGGGGAAGTATGAGCGGGGAAAAACACGTCAATACAGGAATCCACCGGACACTCACCATTCTATCTGCTGCACGCTTATGAGCCTCTTCATCCCATCGATTTGGCCATCCACCCAACAATCCCGGACAACGACATCTTAGAAGCAGTCAAGAGAATCCACGATGTGCGAGAGAAAATCCCAGACATCCTCCACAAAGCCCAGCAGCGCCAGAAGACCCGTCATGATGCAGGACACACACCACGGCATTACGATCCGGGTGACAAGGTACTTCTAGCAACTCCCCACTCTGGCGAAGGATCAAGGAAGTTGGCCCCCTCCTATCGTGGCCCATTTGAAGTGAGGAAGAAGCTCTCGGACCTGAACTACGAGATTCATCTTCAAAAGGCGGGAAAATGGACGACAGACGTAGTCCATGTAAATAGGATGAAACCATTCTATGATAGAAGAGAGTAGTTGTAGAGTAGCATATTTATATCAATTAAGTAGGGACTATTATTTGACGTAAATAAATTGTACTTGGATTTTTTACTTAGGTAGTGTAGTAAATGTAATACCTAGAATGAAAGTTTTTATGTTATACTATTGCAAATCAACAATTGGTTAAAGCAAATCACCTAAAAAAAAATAAAAAAAAAATAAAAAAAAATAAGGTACTAGGTAGTTGTAAAAAGGATTATTCAATAGTAGGTAGATTTAGGTGTAATACATTGTAATAATATAGGTCAACAATCCACACATATATTCATTAATTAGAACATTAATTTAGTGTTTGCCCTACTATCACACAATCACTGATCTTCATGAATAGGAAAATTATAACAGCAACAGTTTATAATTGGCATATTTTTTATCTCTTTATACTTTCGAAACTGTTGCTAATAATTAATTATTTTTTTGTTCGCCTTGCCATAAACCCATAAAAAAATAAAAAAAAAAACTTTCTTTATATTACATATTATACATACAACCACTAACACATGTTGTTTCTTTCTGTTTACATATATCCATGGGAGCTGGGATGCCAAAGACAGTCAACAACACATCGCTGAGTTGCACATAGTCCGCAAGGTCGCCGCCACACCCGACACTAGTCTACCATCTTCGCTGACGCCACCAGTCTTGGCCACAACCTAATCCACAGCCGCTCTACACCTCTACCGTCTTCTCATCAACACCAATTAAGCATCTAAATTTGACATTGTTAATTTTCAATTGCACAGGTTCCTTTTAACAGACATGGGGACCATGTCTAACTAGGCGGGGGTAATGTGACGGGTAGTCACCAAAAATTATTTTCTAAATTTTGGGATTATATTTCAAAAGTAAAAGACCTGGTAAATGGATTTCACAATGCATATACCAGTGTCAGAACATTGGCATTTAGTAGACAGAATTCTTGATGACACGTAGCTTGCTCAATCGACCGACCCACAAAAACCGTAGACTTAGCAATTGTACTTTGGAGAGACTGAGGTCGGAGTTGACCGAAAGGAAGACACTTGGCCCCCAGACTGTCAAAGGGGACACTTCGCCGGTCTCCGGGTTTTTGGTAAGGCGATTACTTTATTAATATTTCAACTTTATAATTTTTGTGATTGTCCAGGCTAACTTAACTTTTTTAAATCAGTGATTGATTGATGTTAATCGTAATCATTCTTATAATAATTGATTTCATTTATAATTTGTGTGAATAAATATAGCTACTATTAAATTCCTGTTTGAATATAATAACGTGTCAAAAAGAATTATAATTATTAGAGTTTTATATATAAATTTCATTTGCTTAGGCCTACTTAAATAAAAGGAGCCTGTAATTATTTTATCATCTATTTTTATTATTGTCTTTATTATTATCTTTATCATATTGTCCATCCATTTTATTTGAATAACGATTAAACATTCTTTTACCTCTCACTAAAGTATTCTTATTATTTAAATCGATCCCGGTTACGCCCCCGGTCACAATTTCAATCGTGGCAACATGCAGTTTTAAATATTAAAAATGCTGACAATAAATGCTTCTTTGGTCGATTTTAGCAGCTTTACATCCAAGGAACTCTAATGAACATGCTGAAAGGGTTTCTAATTATGTATCCTATGAAAGTCAGTTGAATATGACAAACATAAAGTATCCTGTGAAAATATCTGATATAGATAAGTTTGAAACACAGAATGATATAAGTATTAATGTATTTGGGGTTGAATATGATAAATTTATATATCCATTAAGAACAACCAAACTAAATAGTAATATTCATGTAGATCTATTGTTATTACAAGAAGGTCGTAAATCACATTACTGTTTAATTCGTGATTTTGATAAGTTAATGTTTCACTCTACAAAAGATGACCATAAGAAGCATTTTTGTAAGTTGTGTTTGCAACATTTTTACACTAATGATATATTAGAACGTCACATAATGTATTGTAAAAACTTTGATGCCCAACGAGTGGAAATGTCTAAACAAGATACATTACAATTTAAAAATTATAAATATCAACTTAAAGCCCCATTTGTAATTTATGCTGATTTTGAGTGCTTTATAAACTCTAATATACATACTCCATCTGGATTTGCATTTGTTGTAGTGAGAGATTCTAAGATTATTTCTGAAGAGTTATATAGTGGTGCAAACATTATGGATGTGTTTTTTGAAAGGTTATTTGAGACTTATGATTTTATTAAAAGTCAAATGACGATATATATTCCTCTTGTAATGACTCAAGAGCAAGAGGCATCTTTTCAAAACTCAACACATTGTCACATTTGTGAAAAGCCCCTATATTTTGATAGGGTGAGAGATCATTGCCATTCCTCTGGCCAATACCGTGGAGCTGCCCACAATGATTGTAATTTAAATTATAAAGTAACAAAGAAAATACCAGTATTCTTCCATAACTTGAAAAATTATGATGGTCACATAATAATGCAACATTTGGGAAAGTTTAATAAACGTAAATTAAATTGTATAGCTAAAGATATGGAAAAATATATATCATTCTCTGTTGATGATTTAGTATTTTTAGATTCATACAACTTTCTGTCCCTTCCATTATATAAATTGGCTTCCAATTTGAACACATTTAGATTCATACAAAATCCACTACTACAACGTAAAGGTGTATATCCCTATGAATATATGACGGGACCAGATAAGTTCGCAGAGTCTCTACCCCCCATTGAAGCATTCTATAGTACTCTAACTAAAGAACATATCTCCCCCATCGAATATGAACATGCAAAACATGTCTGGACCCATTTTAATATAAACAATTTACAAGAATATCATGATTTATATCTTAAAACAGATGTATTGCTGTTGGCTGATGTGTTTGAGACATTTAGAGACCTGTGTTTGAAGGATTATAAACTTGACCCCGTACATATGTATTCACTTCCAGGACTAACATG